ACGTCGCAAGCCCGTCCCGACAACACCATACCCCAATCGCACCGCTCCGAGCGCGGACCATGAATGAATAGCGACGCGACCAGCCTCGGTCCATCGTTACATCGCCGAGAAATCTGTCTTGCGGCGCCCGTACGATCGAGGAAGGTCGCAAGCATCTGGAGATGATGATAGCGATACAAGTGCTACCGAGTGGCTGGATGTGTGTAAAAGTGAGGGGCTATCGGGGAAGGTGTGCTGGGGCAAAAGGGTGTTACTTGCCAGCCTCGCCAAGACGCTAAATGTGTCGACGGTACCTTCCTTGTTGGGCAACTTCACCCTAACACGGCAATCTACGATGTCCAATACTTGGGTCAAGCTATATCTCCGATTGCGCTGTCAATGCGCAGCGGCGGCGAGGTAGCGCACTTGCAGACTACTTTACCTGGCCGATGTCGCCATGGCTTGACGCAATCACCAATCCGCTGCGATGGGACAACGATACGTGATCCGGGAGGCAAAGACAAAGCAAGAGCTGGATGAGATACTGGATGTTATCTGGGCTGCGAACTACACACCTTATGAGCCGTTCATGCAACTGTTCTTCCCGGTCCTTGGCTACACGAGCGCCCATCGCGACCTCGCCGTCGCCGAATCGAAAGAACGCTTCTGGAAACAACACCAAGAGGACAATTCCAGCCACTGGTTCTACGCCTTCGATACAGTCACTAACAAGACTGTCGGTTGCTCGCAATGGGTTATCTCGATTGTCAACCCATTCGCTGCAGGCACACCAAAGTTGACCGCGCCATGGTGGCCCGAGGGCGAATATCGGAGCTTCTGCGAGTCAATACTCAATCAGGTGTACAGGCCGCGAGCGAATTGGATGACGCGGCCACACTGTGGTAAGTGGAGCATTTCCTTTCCCCTCAAACGCGCTATTTCCGGATGAAGAAACGTGATTGTGCGAAAAGTCAAAATGATCTTCTGCCTCTCGCTGACTTTGTATTAGCACTCAACTGGATGGCGGTAGACCCTGCCCATCGGAATCGCGGTGTTGGCTCTCTTCTCATGCACGTTGGTATCACACGCGCGGACGGGCTTGATCTCGAATGTTGGATGGAAGCTTCTGCCATGGGAAAACCGCTTTACGACAAGTTTGGGTTTCAGTCTCTGCTGAAGATTGCTTTCGACAACGAGAAGTCGGAAGCGAGCGACGAGTGGAGGAAGTGCGCGCATGAGCTGACGCCTCCGCCTATCTTTGCCATGTGGAGACCGAAGAAGTCGTCTGGGGCAGGCCCCCGGGGAGATTTCCAACTGCCGTGGTCGCTGGGCACCAAATCATGAGGACCTGAATCTAAGTGGTCGGAAGAGATGGTAGTACCGCCGATGAGGAGCGTGATGGTGTATGGAAGGGATGCAATCAAATCGAGCCATCGGAGAGATTAAGCAGAGTCAGGCGTTAGCTTTATGGCTGAATGGGTGCCCAGCAGTTGTGTCAGAGGAGCGAATGGAGTACAGCACTTTGCCTATGTGAAGCATGAGCGGAGTAAATTTCGTAGATCATGGCATTGAAGAGGGATGCATACCAATGGATATCTTTGTTGACTGCGCTTGCCACCAGCACGTTCATCCATGGCTACAAGTACAAATTCGTACACACTCTCGACCGCTGGGTATGTTACCAGCTGAAGTATGCCGCTATATTAGCCTTTGTTAGATCAAGAACGTAGACCGGCGCACCTTAACTCGTCCTTGTGTCATGCCCTCGTCCCCAGCAATGCCCTGCTATCCGGCAAGCTGGCAACAGTCAACGGAGTATTTGTGACTGCAGCCGACACAGATGTTGCCGAGATCCTTCGTCTCCCATCTTCTTCTGCATCCACAGCATACCCACACGCAATCGGGGACCGGTTCTGCGCCCGGATAAGGAGTGTGTTGTAGTATCGGGAGTGCTGAGTTTCGTTGCTTCATGTCAGAAATTTCTTTGGCGGTGGCTCTTGCGCTGGCGGAGAACTGTGATCGGAAGACTTCAAGTGTAGTTGATGTGCTTGAGTTGGGCACAGTGTCGCGTCGCTTTCGAGGGTATTGTGGATTAGAATTGTATCTAGAGACGCTGATGCCGTGCTCGATAGCAAACGCGCAAATGTGCTCTGAGACCGGACACGTGCCTGCTCGTTGTCACTCGTGGGTTCTGCTGGAAGATTTCGTCGGCATTGTGACTAGCGATGTGAGTGATTTTGAGTGATAACTTAATGAGCTGTGAAGCAGTGCATCTAAAGCAGTGAGTAGTGAAGAATCGCCTGCGTGTGTGTAAACCCAGTGCCTGGGTCGTGGTTGCCAAAGTGAAATGTTAGTCAGAAAAAAGAACCGACCATCACGCCACGCTCAACACCTTCCTATTAGATGATGCACCTTGACTATGCCTTCTACAGTCCGTCCAGTCTTTCGTTACCCTTGGCTCTTTCTCGAAATAGAAGTATGCTTTATTAATTTTCCGTGCTATTTGTCGTTCGTGGTGGCCGCCATCCCCACATGCCTTCGTGACACAGTATCGTACACGAGAAACTTGCTCGGCTTCATGTAGGCGAGCTTGAGAGGAACCTAGATGACTGTATTAACTGACAGCGACAGGAGCTTTACCTCCTGGAACTAGTTCTGCGGCGCGGTACTGTAGCCGCGCGGCCCGCTCAATTCCATCCAGCCTGCAGCTTCTGAATTGCTTCATCCTCAGAAACCACATCCGCCATTTTTGCATTGATGTCGGAAAGGTTTGCTTTGTGGACCGCAGGTGATAAGTCACCGCATGCTTCTCCCACGACCTGGAATGATGATTAGTGACATTTACAGGGACTCATGCGTTGCCGAGTCGATCCGCACCATTGGTCGAAATCCAAAGCACATGCAATCGAGGGCAGTCGCGCGGACGCAACCACTTGTACTGACACCACAGATTATGACAGTATCGACGTTGCAACTTTGGAGTTGCGCAGCCAGATCGGTCCCGAAGAATGCGGACGGGTAGCGCTTGGGGACGACGACTTCACCAGCGGCGGGCTCTAAACCAGGATACCAACTTTCAAGGCCGTTCCCGCAGCCGACTTGGAACAGCTTGAGTAGCGGTACTTTGCTGTAGAACAGGCCCGCATCCGACATGTCCGGCTTCGTGTATTCGACTCGCGTCCAGATCAACGGCGTTTTGCCTTGGCGGGCGGCAGAGACGAGTTTTGCGATGGACGCGGGCGCCGCCGCAGACGCAGGGTTCGACTTGGTGTCCAATGGGCTGGCATCGTTCCAGTAGGCGTTACAAACATCGACAAGTAGCAGCGCCGGACGTTTACCCCATCCTATCCTCCCGGCGAAGCCATCCTGATAGTCGCGATGCGCTTTCTGGGTCATTTCGTCGTGGTTGTGGCACTAGAGGTGAGTCATGATTGAAATTGGGCGGAGAAGAGCGAGGAAACTATGACGGTAGCGTCGCGCCGCTTGCTATAGCCAGCACTGGAGGTCATCACCATTGCCGTCCATTCAATTCGAGGCGCAACGTTGACATGACGGACTTATCAGCACTGGTGCCGGATGGAGCTTCGGAGCAGTTCCGCCAGGGCAATTAGGCGGCTTTCACGCCCCCAGACCGTCGGGAGTAAGCAACCGGTTCCAAGCGGACCATCAATATACCGACATATACTACCCGAGGTATCTTGATCATTTCGCACCGCCACATAGACGGGCCCTCGGCGGAACCCATTTCAAAGGCTCTTGTGCTGAAGTTGTTCCGATGCAATGGCTTGCGGCATTGCCTTCCGCCCTGTCAGCATAGCGTTGATCTCTGGTGCACCCGTTACGCGCGTTTGAGGGACTCAATTCACAACTGCAGTTTGACCCCGGACTTGGCACCACATGATCGGACTTCCCCACATGAGCAGCCTGGGTACCCAGCCGGAGGCCGATGGCTCTCCTTCCCCCAAGACTGCCAGTTCTGTCCCCGCCATGGACGCAAAAGAAGGGAGGATAGGGAACGCCTTTGCGTGCGAGCGCTGTCGAAAACACAAGGTTCGCTGCGTTCCATCTGACACGCCGGCTCTCTGCCAGAGGTTTGTTTACCCCAGCCATATTTTTGCTCCACATTGAATGACACGTGCCCCAGATGCCAAAAGGCAAGAGTCGAGTGTGTGGAACATGTTGCGCGCAGGCGGCCAGCAAAGGCGCGCAGCGATGGCCAAACACCCACCAAGCTGCGCGACTTCGACAAGAAATTGGACAAGTTGTCTGCTATCGTTGCGACAATGGCGCCGGCTCCGACACAATGTAGTCTGCCATCGGTAGCCACCATCCCATCGCAACTGTTGGACTCCACACAGCAAATGCCGACGCCGACACCAATCACCGCTCCGCCTGTATCGATGCCACCAGCTCCCAGGACGTTATCACTCCCCGCTCATGCAAACCAGTCCGAAAGTTCGGCGTCATTCTGGGAATCAATGAACGACACGCTGTCTTGCCTTGGCCGACTGGATCCTGTGATCAGATCGATCAGCCTGGTGCACATGCAGATGCTGCTCGACACGTATCGCAGCATGGTCGACTTCTTCCCCTTTGTATCCCTCCCGAGAGACGCCCGCTGTCAGGACCTCTTCCAGAGCCGGCCGATGTTGATGTTTGCTGTGCTAACAGTCTCTTCTTACGATTCGGTCCCGCTTCAAAGAGCACTGAGCCTAGAATTCCGTAAAGTGGTCATGGTCCGGATAATGAAAGGCGAAAAGAGTTTGGACCTCCTACAGGGACTCTTGGTCTTCATAGCCTGGCACCATCACTACATGGATGTCCAAGCTGTTTCGATCACGATGCTTCTTCAATTGTGCTTGGGTATCGCACACGACCTGGGTCTGGACAGTATAGGGAGGACTGTGAGGAGTCCTCTACAAAAGGAAAGCCCGCGTGACAGGGAAGCTAAGCGGGCTTATCTGGGATGTTACTACTTATCTTCCAACCTGGGTCTGATGGAGCCAGTCAAAGCAAGGACCATGACGCACACCAGCACACTCCGGAACTACGCTTCGGAACTGGCCTCTTCGTGGGAAAATACGTCAGATGCCGTCCTTCCAATACTAACTGATGTCTGCCAATATATGGAGGACGTGGAGGAGACTTTCCGTAACCAGTCAGAGCAAGCAGTGGTGGTTCGTACACAAGTCAAACGACTGAGCGACAAGTGGGAGAATATTCGTCTTGCATCCAAGCTGCAAGCGAAAGACTTCAGTAAGCAGTCACATCACTGTAACGTTCGCAATTGCTAATTTCTGACTAGCAATACTGCAATGGCTACAGCTTGCAGCACGCATACACCTGTATCGAACGGCAGCTTCCATCGATCTCGTAGATCGCGACAGTACACCGTGGGCTTCGGGCTTTCAACTATCACTACGCGTCACCCTGGTCCGGTCCGTCGAACAGTTCCTCGACAACAGCACAAAGCTTCCGACCAAACATTTCGATTTCGTGTCGCTGATCGACTGGCTCAATCTGATCAACACCATCACCAGCTTGAGCAAGTTGGCCATTCACGCCTCGCCCATGCCAGGTTGGGACGCTAGCGAGCTCCAAATAGCGAAGTCATTCGACTACTATCGCGAACAGCTATCCTCGCAGATGCCTCGCCCTCGCGATGCTCAAGACAGTCAAGAAGACGCGTTTGAGCGCTTCCGACGCATCACTTCAGTCATGAGACTAGCGCTGCACGATGCAATGGGTAGGGGAAGCCCGAACGGCAACACATTTGAGCTAGCGACAGGCTCGGGACGGACTGTATCTCTCCTCCACAATCTGTCACTGCCTAAAATCAACGGGAGTGGTACGACCAATGGAGTGGAGAAATTACCGAGTTTACGGGACGTGACTCCGTCGCTCGATATTACCAGCACCGACTTCCACTGGAAGTTCCTCATGGGCGCGGTCTGAGGGAAGATATGCCAAAAGCCTTGTGCGCACACCATCTAGGTGTCTGGCAGTGGTTCGATATATTGTCGCGATTGCTTTCGCGATCAGCCTCGAAACCGGTCACAGCACAATCACACTCCACATTCCGGTCGCCATGACCACAGGTTTCCACATCTGCATCAAATGCCGGTGCATATTCTGCGGTCTTTCTCCGGCGGCATTATTTTCCCAGGAGAGACGATCGCGCATTACCGACTGACCGGTGGCTCCGTGTCGGTCCTCCCATCCAATGTCCGTCCGTGCCGAGGCCCAGTCCGCCGCACGCCTTCAAGGCACTTCCAAGGCAGTCCATCGGGCTGAATCCACATTAAAAAAAAAGTCACTTGCGCGCCTCCGAACTTCTCCATGTGTTCTTGCTCCGCAATTCTTCCGTAATTTCTTGCGACGGCGCGGATGGTTTCCGCCTCTGGTTGTTAGCGTTGCGTTGAATTACCTGTCGCTGTTGCATCTCTTGTTACTGTCGCTTATATACCCAGCATCAATTATTGCATCAAATATAGATTCTTGAGATGTTTCCGAAGTGTGCCTTTGGCTTGTGAAAGTCTGGACCTGAGTTGAAGCCAAGTTTTCTTACTTGGAGCTGTGAGCGAAAGCATCAGTTTATGCGAAGAGGCGCACGCCACAGGCGTTGTCAGACGACGTTTCTCGTACTTGTCGCAACCACTCAACTTTCAGCTGAACAGTGAGGTTTGAAAAGATATATGATGGGTAACTCTCAGCGACTATGACTTGATGATCATGTAGCGACTTCTCAGTCAGAGATCACCTCGTCAATAGTAAGCTCACTGCTCAAGTCTGCGAATCACTGCTCACTATTACTGTGCATAGCCATATCGCCCGTCTACACTGCACATCCTTCCTCCTAAGTTGTTATCATACAAGAGAAACGACTCCAAACGCCAGCCATGGGCTGCATGTCAAGCAAACTCGCTGGAGCAAAACACGATCAAGACGGATATGGCCCCAACCCAGGGAAGCCTTCAGGCCCTCCCTACATACTTTCCGACGGTACAAACGCTAGAAATACATCTGGTAGAATGTACTACGGTGGTGGCTATGGCGGCGATGGCGGAGGGTATGGCGGAGGAGGAGATGGTGGAGGTGGAGGGGGTGGATAACGACGAGAACAACGAAGGACACGATGCTTCCATGTTCTCTTGACCTACTTGCTGTCTTGTGATTATTCTTTTACCTTCCATAGGTAGCAATCTGTATGTGCTTTCAATGTATCAGCCGCAACAGCGCCTATGACCTCTTTCTCATCCCTTCCATTATTTAATGGGCGGATTCAGTTATCGTGTATCTCGTGCGTGTTGCGGGAGTCGTGAGTGGCTCGTCGTTAATGGGTCATCGCGGTACCATGGGAGAGAGGGTGGGGACCAACTACAACAATGACTTCCGCCTAGCATAGCCGCCTTGTCAACCGTGCCTCATATCCGCTACGGCACAGCCAAGAAGTATGAACATCCCTCAGAACTGGCTTTCGAGCTTGTCCTTAACCTTCTCAACATCCACGAACCTCCGCAGTTTCATTCGTTGACTGTTCCTCTAACTACTACTGACATCGTCAGCGCCTCCATTCGGTCGTCTTCTCTTCGCCACAAGCACTCGAGCCAGCGCATACACATTCGCACCATTCATTCAACCTAGAGATCACCAAGCCATGGGCTCTTTTCTATCAAAACTAAATCGCGAAGTCGAACGCGTGAAAGACGAAGTAAATCATATATCGGCAGTATATGCTGCCCGGAGAAACGGCGAAAGAGCCCGTGGGTATTTCGAGGGTGCTGCTGCATACCCAGGCCAAAACAGATCGTATGGACGCTACAACGGAAGACATGATAGGACCACCCCGTTTTATGACGGGGGTGATATGCACGGCAGGCAATACAGTGAATTGGATAGAGCAGACAGCGGGTTTAGTGACGGTGACGGTGGTGTTGTAGGGACGTCTAGTGAGGGCAGCGCGTCTGGTGAAGGAGGTGGAAGTGGAGGAAGAGACTAGAGAGGGTGGTCTGCCCACGAGCTAGAGATCCTAAAAAGACAGGACGTGAAATACGCGCAGTCAGGGCTCTGGGTACTGGCAGAGTTATCTTTGTGTCGTTATTCAAAAGTTCGAGGTCACCGGGGAACATGCTCACATTGTGTGCTTCACTGCGCTCTCTTCCATTGTTCACGTATAAGACTTCGACAAAACTACTCGTATATCCCTCGCTCATCATACACAATCATACAGGCTTCCCATTTTCCGCAGCCAAAAAGTACCTCCGCGAGGAACTTTACATCCTCTACACCCACTCAAAGCTCCACACATTTCCCCCAAAATCTCACCATGGGCTGTTCATCCTCCAAACCAATCCCTAAACCAGTCTCCAATCCTCCTGCCGCAAACCCACCGGCCCCTTCCCCCACGCCCACCAAGCCAGAAGCAAAGACGCAGCCTAAACATGTAGCACCGCGCAATACACCCACCCCTCCATTCACCACAGCGCCCTCGACCCCTGTTCCGATAAGAGGACCTTTGGCAAGCAAATATGGGTATTACGACACGGGGTTCACGTGGATCAGCACGCGGGATAAGATGATGGAGTGACGGGTGTGCTGGAGTAAAGGATACTGATATGCGAAATTGAATACAATGAGTGCTATATGAACTAGACGATGAGTTAAATGTCTTTTGATGTGATTAGGTCTAAAATATGAATCACTCATTCTCATACTAGTTTCTCAAAGCATCGTCTTACTAGTTGAAGACGTGAAGTCATGAATCTCATCTCTTCACTAACCACAGTGAATCCACACCTTATCCCTTCTCTTCTAGTTCGCGGAAGCCTACTTCGCACACACCATCGAAGTGCCTACTACCAACCACCACCATCACCAGCCATCGATACTCAAACGCCATAATCAACCATGGGTTGCACATCCTCCAAATCCACAGAACCGCTCCCCGCCCCTCAGCCGATCGAAACAAACACCACTCCTCACGTCACTACACCTACTGCTGCTGAAGGCCATAGTACCATCTCCGACATCCCACACCCACAGTCACAGCTACCTCGAGCAACCATACGACAAGTGCCTCCAGACGGCCATGCACTGACTGACGCCAAGATACACGATACGCAGGCTGGATCGAATAACGTACCGTACTACGAAAACAAATTGTGGCGGAGGGGATAGATAGGTAGAGGAAGAAGTGTGGATTCAAGTTGAGCGTCATTCATATTCGAGAAGAGCCATAGAGAATACTAAAACAAGAAAGGAAAGCTAGAGTAGAGAAACATACCAGCATAACAGACCGAGTCTCAAAGAAAGCAAGCTTCCAAGCCATATCTCATACAAGCCCAATCATACAGCAAAAAAGCCGCCAACCCATAAACGCCGCGCAATGCAACACACACCCATCCTAACCCACTACCCATCCTAATTATACCGCCTACTCTTACTAGCCCACTCCTCCTCCCTCCTCGCCTTCTCCGCCTCCAACTTCTTCAACTCCCTCGCCACACCCCCACTAGCCCTCCACCAAACATCCGTACCCGTCCTTATCAGCCTCTCAGCCGCACTAACCGGCCCATCAACCGCCGGCCTCACATCCAGAAAGAAAACTGGTTGTTCGTCTGCCTCTCCCTCGCCCGACGCTTCTGATGTTTCCGGCGCACCCTCATAGTAATCAATAACATAACGAATCTCTTTACACCCCTTCTCATTACAGCGCTCGACAAACCAATCATGGCGATCAAACGGCGGCGCCGTACCGAATTTCTCTGGCATCACGTAGCCCAGCCACTGCATGATCGTTGCTTTGGGCGTCGGTTCCGTAGGTCTCCCTGTGAACCTGAGTAGTTTCGGGGGCTGAACATCCCTATGATCCCACGTCGTCGTATCAAACGGATCCTCATGCGTGCCGAGTTTGAAATTCGCGACGTCCTCGCCTTGCTTGCATATCTCGTATCCTTCCTTCAACCCCCGCGAAAAACGACGCTCCCAGCCCATGATCTCGGCCCACGCGCCCTCGTTGAGGAAATTGTGCACGCCGACCATGCTTTCTACGGCTGTGATGTCGGTGTCTGTGTAGCCTTTGCGCAGCATGGCGTTGTACATTTGCTGCGGGGAGGGGTACTCCCAGAGCGTGCCGTCGCCTTTGGGGATCGTGGAAGTCTCGCGGTCGAGGGGGAGGTTGACGGATTGGGTCGCTGCGCGCTCGTTGGAGAGTTCGGAGAACATGTTGTTGAGGGGGTTGAGGCGCGAGAGGAGGCCTTGCTTTGGGGGTGGGGAGGAGTTGTTTTCGGGTGGGACGTAGGGACAGGCGCCGGCGGGTGTCTTCTTTTCGGCGACGACGGGCGGGACGGGTTTCTTGTGCATCGGGCATTCTGGCTGGTGGGTTGTTAGTGGTGTGTGTGTGTATGGGGAGTGGGAGTGCGTACTGGAGGTTCCATGCTGCTCATGCTGCCTCGAGGCATGGCGTGCGGCGCAACACGTGCAGCAGGTGCGGCGGGTGCGGTGTCTGCCCAAAACCAGCCCATGGTGAGTATCCGTGTGGAAAGAGTAGTACAGCGAAAAGAAGAGGCAAGCAAGGGTATATAGGGCTGAAGAAGATGTGACGGGTGGCGGAGATTATCGGGAAGAACAATTTCGTGCAGGGTCCTCGTCGTCATCGCTCTAAGCACGTTAGGCGTACTCCGATTGGCTCGACACGTCAATGCAGTGAAAGTCGATTTGGAAGCTATATTTGGATTTCTTTTTGGTTATGTTCTTGATATCGTACGCATATGCGCAAATGTTCTACATATCTTGGTCAAGACGCCTTGAAATGTGCTCAACCATATTCTTATGATCCTGCCGCCTTCGCCAACTGGCCAGTGCCCCGCGAGCTGAAGATAGCCATGATGCCAAAACTGCCATAGAACAGAACCATGGGGTACGCTACCAGTCCCCGCATGGAAGTCATGCGCCCTACGAGATGTGTTAGTTCCCATCAAAAACCCCATCGGAAGGCTCGACTTACCAACAACGGTGAACATGGAACTGGAGCTGTAGGAACACCATGTGATGGCCAGGCTGGTCAGAAGGTATCCAAATAGCCCGTCAAGCGGCACAATGATTCCAAACATCGATACCAGAACGAGAGGGAGCAGACAGTATCCGAGCACCGATGCCGATCGTGGGAACGTTAACGAGGAGCCGAGATGTGAGCCATGCGGGTGACCGTGGTCTCCAGGTGTCGCTTCGACGACAGGCGGGGACATGAGGGAGAGAATCTGGTGGAGGAGGATCGTGCCAACGAACGCCAGACCTGTTTTTGTTAGTTACTGTCTTTCTCCAAGCAGCTGTTTGACTTACCGTAGATGTAACCGAAATGAAGCTTTCCAGACAACTACTCCACGTTAGCTCTCATTTCTTTCTTGATATCGTGTCTCATACCAGTAACGACGTCCCAAAGATCAAGAAGAACAGTATCGGCCCTGCCACATCGCTGTCGTCCATGATATGTTGATCGATCCGACCAAACGGATTCAGCACAGCCAACGTCTTCATCTGTATATGCCTGAAGTTCACTCCCAACTCTTCCAGTAGCGGCGGCTCTCCGTCATATCCTTCCGTGCCAAAAGCCGCCAGCCACCCTGTCCGCAGCCCCGACACACCCATGCCCATCTGCCCGCTCACGCCCGGTGCAGCGAACCCCGCACCATACTGTGCGGGATACGCTTGACTCGCCGGTGCGCCGTAGTTTGCCTGAAACGGTGTGGAATGGCCAGATACCGGCTGGTTCGAAAATGACGATGGGTAGAATTGGAGGTTTTGCGCATTCCCAGCGCCGTATTGCGGGTTCTGTCCGTAGCCGTATTGCGCCATTGTCTGATATGCGAGTGTGTGAGGTATATCGACGGAGACTAGGTATCGGGATGCAGCGATCTGGCGTTGGGAAGGTCGTGCAGCTGGTGCCTGGCGGAGGTGGAGCGGACGTGTCCTGGGGAGATGTGGTACGTGGAGCGAGAGACGACGTCACCGGGGATTTTTGCGCGGAAAGGACAGATTGCGTGAAACGGGGGTGTTGGGTTTGGAAAGGGAGGGCTCGCGCGCTGAAGTGGGAAGAAGACAATTGTTTGTTTGCAATGTTGGGGCTCAATCTGGCAGCCACATGTCATCGTGTGCATCGACCCTGGCCAGCCGTCCACAGGCCGATGGGGGCTTGGCAGCGACACGAGCATCAGAAGCAAAGCTAACGCTGTGACTATTTGACAACCACGTCTAAGCTATAGTTCTACGAAGCTTATGAATGTTTACTCGTTACGTTTCTCATCCTCAACACGGGATTAACATAATAGAGGGGGGTCCGCTAACTGGGCCGATATTCTGACGAATATAACGCAACGGCTTGAATCCCTCCTGCATCACCCAGTCCAAACCAATAACCGTACCCTCTTCATTGCGTATGAATACCAGGAGAAATTGCTCGTAGCTCGAGTAATCCACCAGGCATCTTGTCTCCATCTCGTCGCTCGATCCAGGTAAAAAGCTAAACGTGTGGGACTGGTAGTGTTCCAGGAGATGGCACTGCGAATCCATGCCATTCCGTTTCATCTCCAATTGATCTCTACTTACCTTGTATACATCAATAATCCCCTGTATGTCATTGTTCCGGTACGTCCCCTCAAGGCTTTCGAGATGGGGACATGGCGTATCTAACATGCGGTTCTTCTGCAGATCGTTTTTCATCTCGGTATATCGGTTCAGACTACGGGTAGATAGCTTCTCCGCCCTCATACCGAAATCCACTTCCGGGGTCATATCGAAGAGTGATTGAACGAACATCTGAGCAACGAGATCAGAGCAGTCTCCAGCACTCTGCGCGTTGGTCAGGACGACCACAGCGGATTTGGTCTCCGGAAAGAGATAGATGGAGTTGAGATATCCGGTCACCTGGCCTCCGTGGTATAGTGCCAGCTGCGGCCGCGATCCTCGCCCGATGACATCGTCTCTCTGTGGGCCGTTGGTAGACAACCACCCAAGTTGTGTCGAGGGAATCATGTGTCTTGCCCATCCAAATGCATACGAGTTCTCGTTGACGGTATCGTCCATAACGGGTATCTTGCGGGACGTGATTTGGCTGATTCGCCTTAGCGGGTTTGTCGATGTGTTTTGCGCGTCCGTATGGTCGTCGTGGTGTACTGCTTCGTGTTGATCTGTGTTGAGACTCAATCCTTGGATGGCCTCAATGGTGCTCTTCTCCGTCTCTTCTTCTTCCAACCGTTCCATTACTGCTTGCGACCAGATGAGCATTTCCGGAACGTTCGACCAAATCGCCATTGCAGCTCCACAAATAGTCTTGTCTGAAACTTGAGGCATTCGTAAACGTACTGGTCGCCTGTCGTGCAAGACCGTATGCCCCTCAGCCAGATTTCCACCCTCGACTTTCCATCGAGAACACGTCGATCTACTCATTCCGAGAGGCTCAAAGATTCTCTTCTTGACGAACCCTCCCCAGCCATCCACGGCATCCTCGCCGCCTACCGCTTTAATCACTTTACCCACCAGAGCGTAAGGCCAGTTGGAGTAATGGAATCCGGTGCGAAATGTGTCGTGAACTGGCATGTTGGCAGTGATATGTAATAAATCTTCTGGAAGAAGCAGTTCTGCGCCTGCTGCGCCATACCACGCGATGTCGAGCTGTGGAAATCCGCTGGAATGAGAGAGGACTTCTGATAGACTCATGTGTTTGCCTATGGCAGGATCTTTGTTCTGGGTAAAGGGTATGTATGTGGATAGCGGTTCGGTCCAGCTCAGTTTGCCCTCGTCGACGAGTATACCACAGGACGCGGCGATGAAGGCTTTGGTGAGTGATCCGATCATGTAGAGAGTTGAATTGTTGACCGGGACATAGTTTTCGTTCCCATCTGCGAATCCTTGGCTGTGCTGGAGGATGATCTCGCCTTCGTGGAGGATGCCGATGGAGAGAGAAGGACATCCGGTGATTTTCATCAACTTCCGGACTTGGGGTAGACAAGCCCGTACTCTGTTGCAGCATCAGTACAAGTCCTGTCATACTATCGATATCGTTAGAGTGACCGTACCTCTTTTTTGCTGCGGTAGGATCCATGACTTATCCGAGGCTTAATAGTGATAGTGATAGAGCGACTCCCGTTTTGCGAAACCGTGGAGACAGGTAGCTTTGCTGAATAAAGTATCGACCGAACAATAAACGCAGGTGAAGGTGAGAAAGTCGAGGACGACGGCCACGGACGTGTTGACGTGCCGCGAATAGGCGACAACACAAGCAGGCAGGAGCGTGTCTGCCGAAACGGGCTAGACCGACCACGCCCATATCCATGGATCCTGCATGATGCATAGGTGAAAGAAGGAACGAATGATCACACAGCGAAGCCGCACCGCAGATTCGATGCTAGACAATTGCGCATGCAAAATGTCAGTTGCATATTTGGGAGGAATAGGTTCGGGAACCGTGTCCATAGATTTGAGGGGGGTATCTAGTCCTAATGCTAAGAGGGGAGGGAAGTCATCAATCATAAATCATAAATCCAGTCATAGCTGTGTTCGCAAGCGATACGTTTGCTGTTGGCCGAGGAGGTATCCAAGCTGTAATCAAGCGACGAAAGCCAAGTTCAATACATCTCCCTGGTCCTTCGTGAAGTATAGTTGCACCAGTCGCACTGTAGACGAGTTAGTTGATGTTTACACGCCTCATCGCACCATACTAACCAGAGTGTCAGAAGACGCGTCGTTATCCTCACGGCAATACTCGTTGTTGCATTTCCTGCAGGTGCGGATGAAAAGCTCCTTACAGCTTATGCAGGTATGACCACAGCCAAAACAGTCGCGTCTCACGCCGATAACCTGTGTTTCTTCACGTCAGCCTATTTCTTGATCAAAGAGTGAGCACATACCTTGGCGCGCAAGTGCCAGTCTCCAGGTGCAATTATCCAATATAGCCAGGCTCCGGGTTCCGGAATCCAACTACATCGTAACGGCCTCAAGGTAGCATCGCTGCTCGCGCGCCAAGGTAGGTCCTTCATCCCCACATCCCGTCGCTACCGGCTCCGGCCATCATTTCCTCACGGAGGCAGTGTTCCACGCAGAGGCCCATATGTACCTTGATGGTTTGCTTGGGGAGCAGTTGACTGGTCCCGTCGGGTTTGAAGCTCTCGGTGAGCTCCGTCTGCTGTAGCTCTGTACGCTGGGCGGTAACCGATCCAGTGTAGCAGTTCTCATCCCACCATTTGTGACATCTCTCGCACCAGCGTCCTTTCAGGCAGTCCTCGCATCGCACTATGAGAGGTGGAGGGGCGGATCCGTCGAGAGTGTGTGGTATCTGCGCGGCGCGTACGGAGGACCCATGAAGTGGTACCGGACTGAGTAGCGGATGATGCGACGGACTGGAGTCGCCAAACACTGCCGGGCCTTCTGGAGAGGAGTGGCATGTCTCGCAGCCAGACGGACCTAGCGCTACAGTGGCTACTGTAGGCCGCAGGAACGAGGATGGATGGGGTGCGCCATCTGCAGTCGCGTCTCTGACGTACGCCTTGCTTGGGTCATGGCGTGGTCCTCTGCACAGAACGGCGTCGAAAGCGATGATGCCTTCGCACGCCTGGAGAATCTCTGCCCATTCCGGCGACGGCCGCTTAGGTATGATCTTGCCAGAAGACTGGTACCACTTGTCCTCGGTCCGCGCCAGTACAGCTTCCAAGGCCTGCTGCGACTTCTCGTTCCATTGCGCCCCTATCTGCGCCCCTTGTGAAGTCGTCACGCCCTTGGGAATATGTGGGGAAGGCTTCTTCGTAACGGGCGACGCAGGGCGCGGTGTTCGATCGCGGGTGCCAAAGATGTAGATGCCTTTGACTCGAGGGGTGCCCGCAGGCCTGGACGGTCGGACCGCATATCGCAGGTATTGCTGAAGCTTCCTCTCGTTCAAATGTTTGGCTTCGCGAATCGAGAGTATGCGGACGTTGAAGCGTTCCTCAGTAAGCAGTTCCTTGACCAGTTCGGCTGTTACGCTGAGCCCGTCTAGTACGAGTGTGTGGACATTGCGCAAGACGTGCAGCTTCTCAAGTCTGTTGAAGATATGACGTAGAGGGCCGCTGTAGAAGTCGTCTTCGGTGAGGGCTTCGTCCATGCGCTCAGCACGGAAACTGGTACCGCCGATATCAAGAGGTCCATCGAAGGGTACAATAGCAGACTTCACCGGAGAGAGATCCAAGTAGCGAAAGGCCTCTGGCGACTGGAAGACAACATGGTGTAGGGATTTGCAAGTTCGCGACAGGTTACGGAGAGCAGATATTGGCAGGTACGGGGCAGTTTGGCGCAGGATCAAGGTGTTGGAAAGCAGGTCCGCCAGGGATGTAGGAAGGTCGTCACTGAAGGTAGAAGGGCCCATGGTGAGGGCTCGGGGAATGCAACCAGAGAAGTTTGGCCAGAGGTTAGATGGGTACTCACCGAATCTTTATTACACAGCGCGAGGGCAGGGCGGAGTAGCACGTGCCACTGATCTGACACTGCAGGTGTGTGTTGGATGAGCAAAAGGAAAGACTAATCGAGGTTGAGACGCTGCAGGAGATGGGGTTGTGGGTGCGTGGGATACCGCCGATGCTTCGTTCCCTGCGGCGATCGCAAGCGCAAGACCCTGCCAAGAGGCGTATTAGCAGGACACGAAAGCTTCCTGCATAAGACCTGCACGATCAGGCCGCGATGAAGCATAGATTGGAACACGTCTTGCAGCCAAGCCCGCGCTGCAAGTCTTGGTGGTCGAGTGGAAACAGGCTAAAACAGTCGCTGCGAGATGTCAGGTAGGCGACGCGACGCGCAAAGCCGCCGGGGGATGTTCGCCCCACGTTGGCCGCTTAGAACATGAATCGACATATCGAAACTCACCGGAGCATTGGCATGGACGACACAGATATGGTTTAGGTGCCCGGAGAGATTCTCGCATCTTTCTTGAGACGCGTACTTCTGTTGATCAATTATGATGAATTATTCAAACACGTCTACACATATATGGGCTGTATGTTGCGAGATACTCAGGTATGCTCGTGGCTCTATCGGTGTGTCCACGAAGCTTAGTCACCGTCTCGCAGCTGTATCGGGAAACCATCGCTTGCACTGTGAAAGATGGTAGACCAAATATAGAATATACATGACGACTACGAGTGGTGAAACTAGACTTCTGCTGTATGCTTTCAACGGTGGCGGTATCTTCACGCGTTACCACGCGAGGCTTATCGATAAGCCAAGCGGGCCGAGGCGAGGCAGCGCAATGACGCCAGTCATTCACCGAAGCTTCGAGTCGCGAGGCGCATATGTCAGCCATCTCACGCCTCTGAACTACAGCGTACCATCATTCATGTGTTCCCACAGTCTTTACCTTCACCTCTCTAGACCCGACACGATACAACCATGGACCCGGAAGCAGAGCCAGCAGAGCTGAAGTGGTCCGCGCAATACGAACTCGCACATGCGACGCGAAGCACGCTACCCGGCGACAAACTACTCCTTCCCCCATCAGCGTTAGAGCAGCTCCTTGCCGCGGCACCTGTCGTACACGTCGATGCGAATCGACCGCACATCACCGCATTCGATCCTTTCAACCCGTACACCTTCAACGCCGAGCGCCACGCACGAGCACAAACGCAGGACCGCTTCCAGCAGCTGCCTCATCCGCTTACCTTTCGCTTGGTCAATCCGGATAATGGCAGAGTTGTACATGCAGGCATACGCGAGTTCTCCGCAGAAGAGGGCGAGGTTGTCTTGAGCAGTTTCCTGAAGGAGGCTTTGGGAATCAGAGAGCAATCTGCAGAGCCATCGAGAAATGCCAGCCCAAATGGCCAGGATGAAGATGACGTGGCTATGTCGAATGGAGCAATTCCTCTGGGGACAGAAGGTGCTGCATCTACAAAGATCACAGTACATGCCAAGCAATTACCCAAGGGCACCTTCGTAAAGCTACGGCCTCTCGAAGCTGGCTATGACCCGGAAGATTGGAAGTCGCTACTGGAGGAACACCTGCGATCCAACTTCACAACCTTGACGAACGGAGAGGTCCTGGCTATAAATGGTGGTCGAGGAGTTGATGGCAAGCACGAGGAGTTTCGCTTCCTTGTAGACGGCTTCAAGCCCGAAGGAGATGGCATTTGCGTAGTAGATACGGATCTGGAGGTGGATATCGAAGCGTTGAATGAAGAGCAGGCACGCGAGACGATGAAGAGGATAGCTGCCAAGATGCACCGCGCGCCTGGAACGTCACAAGGCAGTTCCACCGGCGGCGCGATCGACATATTCAACGCACAACCTGGACAAGTGCTTGACGGTGAGTACGTCGACTACGAATTGACATCCTGGGACAGATCTCAGGGGTTGGAAATTCTCCTAGACGAAGTAGAAGATGGAGATGAGATCGACCTGTATGTCAGTCCGTACTCTTCACGACAAAGAGTTCGCCCACGAGAAGACGAGCATGTGTTCGCAAATATAAGGAGTCAATATCCGAAACGCATACGACTGCAGCCTACAAACATCGAGCTTGACGATGCGGAAGCCGTATGGATCTCAGTTCATGCATACCCATCCGAGTCACCCTCAAGCACGCCCAAACCCTTCCGTCTAAAGGTGTCGATTTTCGATCCCAAGACCGAAGCAATGGACGGACTGGACGAGGCCCTTGAGAATGCAAAAGCGGTGGGATCGGACGAAGTGATCTGCAAAAACTGCCAACAAGTCGTGCCTAAAGGCTCACTATTCCTGCACGAGAACTTTTGTCTAAGAAACAACATTCTCTGCCCCCAAGGTTGTGGTCAAGTCTTCCAAAAGCGCTCTCCAGCTTTCCAAAACCATTGGCATTGTCCACACGATACATTCAGTGGCAACACCACATTGAGTCATCAGAAGCACGACGCTCTCTACCACACACCGCAGATGTGCTCAACATGCGACATGGAATTCCCATCAATGCCCATGCTCTCCCATCACAAAACAACAGTGTGCCCAGGCAAGCTAATCCTCTGCCGCTTCTGCCACCTCCAAGTCCCACAAGAAGGCGACCCCAACGACCAATCCCCCGAACTCCTCCTCTCAGGTCTCACGCCCCACGAACTCGCAGACGGCGGCCGAACAACCGAATGCCACCTCTGCAACAAAATCGTCCGCTTCCGCGACATGGACACACATCTCCGGCACCACGATCTCGAGCGCCTATCCCGCCCCCCACCCCGCTTATGCCGCAACGTAAACTGCGGTCGCACCCAAGACGGCGCAAACAAAGCCGGTGACACCCGAGCCGGGACGCGCAAAGGCCAAGGCCCCGGCAATGAAATCGGCCTATGCAGCGTCTGTTTCGGGCCTCTCTACGTCTCGCTCCACGACCCAGAAGGCAAAGCACTGCGTCGCCGCATCGAGCGGCGGTACCTCTCTCAGCTCCTGACTGGCTGCGGGAAAGCGTGGTGTAAGAACGAGTACTGCCGTACTGGTCGAAAGAATCTAGGCCAGGAAGATAAATCCGTTCCGACTAAAGATGCTATTCCGCTTGTTAAGCCTTTCCTGCAGGGTATGGATGGACGTGGGTATGAGACCCCGTTGCACTTTTGCGTGGATGAGCGGACGCAGAAGTGCAGGACGTTGGCTGAGATGGTGGCTGCTGAGAAGGGGATTGAGGGGAAGGGTGGTTATGGGTTGGAGTGGTGTGTTGCTGCTATGGAGGCTGAAGGTGGGGATTTGGATAGGGCGAGGAGTTGGCTTAAGGGGTGGGCGCCGCAGAGGACGGAGGCTGGGGTGTGAGAGGGGAGGGTTTGGAGTGTTTTGATGAGGTGTTTGTAGATGGGTGTATAGAAGTATGATAGTGGTGGTTGTAGCATATAGACTAGATTAGAGAGATACCCAGTAACAATGTCAACGAGATTGCATAGGCCTAGAGCACGGCAAGGCGGATGAGTGCACTGCATCCGATACTAGGCAGTGTCGTATGCAATGTACGCATCCGCCTTGCCGTGCTCTAGGCATATACAACCATGCTATGCCCCCATCTCATCTCCCGTCTCTACAAGCCAAACCCTACAACTTACTCTTCCCCCCCTTATCCCGTCCCTCCCTCTCCGTCTGCCTCCCCATATCCTTCGTATCACTCGTCTCCGCCTTCAAACTCGCCGGATCACCAAGTTGCGTCTTGTTCACCTTGTTTCCATCGTCGTTCGCAAGCGTCCCTCGTACTTTCTTGCTGTGCGGCAGATCCTCCTTTCCTTCCTCTTTCTTGCTACCTGCACTCCCGCCGTTGCCAATGGCTTTCTTGTCGGCGCCGCCGGCTGATGTACCGGATTTGACGTAGGGGGCTGAGGGTGTGGGTGCGCCGATGGAGGAGGTTTCTGAGGATGGTGGGGAAGAAGTTGAGGATGAGGATGAGGAGGAGGAGGTAGCGTCGTTCGAAGGGAAAGTCTTGCTATCGTCGTTTTCAGGCTTCAGACTAACGTGGTCGCCGAGACGGGGAGTGGGTTTATCGGAGTCCATGGCTTCTTTGGTCTTTGGGTTGGATAGTGTGCCGCGGACGGAGGAGGAGTGGGATGTGTCGACCATTGTTGCTTGGAGCCGCTTTTCGTTTGGATAAAAATGTATGATGTATGGTATTGAATCACGATGATGTTTGACCGCGGAGTATGAAATCTGGGGAAAAGGGCTGGTTATGACATCTAGACGTTATCTGTACCTCGGCAGCTACGCAGCTACATCATTGAGAGATAGTGCGTGCTTTGGTGGTGGGAATGCTTGATGGAGTGTCTAGCGCGTGGGCATGACGTCTTGCATTGTGAGGCGCGTTGTCACATGAAGATCTTCGTGGTGCTTTTGCGCGTTTTGGATTCCTTCGAATCATCGTTCGGCTTGAATTCTATTTGGGACTCGTTGACTGCAGACCTTGGAGTTGAGGTCTTGATGTGTTGACGCCTGTTGTGGTCATGAACGAATGAGGTTGTGCTGATGGCTTACAGAGCGGCGGAGCTCCAAGCTCCCCACAACCCGTCCTGCCGTTACACCTCGGCATCTTTGCTACCCCAGAGTCCCGCACGCTCCGCCATCATGTCCTCAATGGACGCGAAGGCAGCACACGCGATTCACACTGCAAACACTATCAATGCGCCATCATGGACGCGAAATATTCCCACCTGTTGTCTGTTCCCTGGGCCGCTGCCCTGATTAACGACCCCAACTGGACGCCGATGGAGACCAGCTCGCGGTCAGTAAAGCCATCAGGAGAAGACTCCTTCTTCGCAGGAACGCTTGGCACTGATCGCACAATAACAACGCTTCTTACGTTCCGTCCGAAAGATGAGGAACCAGGCGACATCGCATACAAAGAGATTAAAACGATTGTGGAGCTAGGCGATGGGCTACAAGGCTACCCACGCATCGCACACGGCGGCTTCCAGGCAACGTTGCTTGACGAGATGTCCGGCGTCTTGATCGGGACGGTCATGGAGAAAAAGGCGCAAAGGGCAAGTAAGGACGGTCGCTACGTGCCTGTCGCAAGCTACGTTACTGCCTGTTCGTCCATACCATGTATCAACACCAAAACACCAGCTGAGCACAAACAGATCTAAACACTACCTACAAGAAGCCAGCGCCAACCCTGCAGACGCTTCTCTGCACAGCCAAGATCGAACGAATAGAAGACGGCGGTCGCAAACTATACGCTCGCGCGACTCTCGAAGACGGCAACGGTACGATATACACCATCGCCGACGGCATGTTCATCAGACTTTCGACCAAGCTATGACACCTCTAGATGATCATGCGCTCTGCACGGGAATAGGCAGTGACCCCACAGTGCTACTATGTGCCACGGAATATGCTAGAGGCACCCGTCGAAATGTCTGGGCATTCGGATACCAAACTCGACAGTACATGGGCCACCACAGCGCGTACTACGCTTGTACATGAATACAATATCTCATCTGCAAAGTCGCACCGCTCGCGTGGCCATCTGTCATATTCGCTGCTTGTCGGGAGTTTGGTTGCACGGAATCGCGCAACACGACTGCCGCGACCCTGCGCAAGGTCTGAGAGACGGCGAGCTGTCGCGCACCTCAACGCGCATCTCAACCCCTTTTGCAATACCGAATGCTGGTACACTACGATTCCAGCCTACGACTTTCAAGGTTTCGTTCAAGATACCTTGTTAGGCAGGCGTGTAAAGAATCGCTTGAGCTATTCACCTGCTCCACCACGAATGGACTGTCCGACTTTGACCGAAGTTACAAGCGTACATTCGCTTGACCTCCTGTATTGCACATTCTATTACTTTTTCATCGACTTGATGCTCAGATTTTGCCATGTGCGAAGCTACTGTGTCGGCGCCTGCTCTTAGTGGCAGATAGCCCGAAAGTGTAAGTCGAGTCTAGCCACATGACTGGTCATAGCCAGATTCTTTTAATCTATCTACCCTGACCCACATGATCTACCCTGTGCATGACCGTCGCCTAGGCCCGGCTCCTGTGCATCTGGGGTATTCGAAGAGGCGCTTGCGATGTTGCAATCTCAAAGCATACACCTAGGAAATTGTCTCCAAACATGGCGTTCGGCCGACCTCTAACCAGCAACAGCTCCACGATGCCCAGACCTAGGCATGCCCGAGTCTGCAAACGACACTACACTCCGTGGCCAACGTTCACGCGCCTGACTTCGCCGCCGTCATTTGCGATCTTTGACTGGCGCCGTTTCAAAACAAGTCTGTTCCAATCAGGCAGGTCAAAAACAAAGGTGTCGGGCTTGCCTTCACGTTGCTTGTCTCGCGGAAGCCTCACAAGACTCTCTGCATTCACCGCATCACAACTATGGGTGTGTAGTGAGTGCTCTGACGTCTAAGAGACTAACACATGAGCACGCGCGCTTGAGGCTTATGCTGCAGGGCAAGATCATAGGGCAGACTCATGCAGTGCGACGCATGGCATTTCTACCTAAGACTACCCCACATTTAGGCTTCGTGGCGAACTACTGTTGACGGCGCAACTCTGGGGTCTTTAAGATTCATGACCGCGGAGCCAATTGCCGGCTTCAACGCTCTGGTCTTGGCACTAGCGTCCGTCACATGCTTCCAAGGTTTGGTCGGTGTTTGCACAGTCACTGGACAGCGCTTCACGGAAATAATATGCGTAGGGCCGTCCCGGTGACCAACGCTGCATCGAGGTTAGTTGCATATCCCCTGAGTCTTCTTACAACTTCTGCTTGTAGCTCACCCATAGCATGCGTTGGGCAGCACGCTGGATCACCATCGTCATCCTCTATTCATGTTCAGATAGCCACTGCAGCTTCTAGATGTAGAGTAGATCACACTGCTCACGAGAATAGAATAAGTTTTATTCGACTTACCAAACAACAAAAAACACCCCTCGGAGATTGGGCTTGAAAAGGAAGGGCGCGTACCTACACCCTCCCTTTCCCCAGACTATGTTACTCAAGCTAAGACATCTCGAAGCCGGGACCGAAGTAAGCTATGTAACCCTTCAAACGGCAACGGGGGTAGCCGCCTAGTGAGTTAGTCTTCGACAAGGCCTTATGACCTCCTAAGTGGTAGACGGTGAGTGTCTCATCACCGGATGTCGCTAGCTAGCCAGTCGGCACGCTTCATGGGGAGCAGATCTCCAAATGATCGCGTGGGTGTATGGTTCTTTCTCCTATCACGCATTGCCACGACGTGTAGCAGTGAACAAACGGGGAGATTAAATAGGCATCATGGTCTCCCTTTCTGAGACTTCTTCTCGCTACTACAGTCTACACTCCTTTGTACTCCTCCTCCTTGTGTTCTCACTGAACATACCATTATCTATTGGCATATACTCACGGCTATGCATTTGTCCTTCTTGCTCGCCTGCCTCAGTGCAGTGGGCATTCAGGGTGCTGCTATCGGTAAGCGAAGACCGTTTCCCCTGAATATTCGCGTTACTGACACACTATAGCACGCTTCCCCCGACAGATAGTAGTGAATGATACGGAGCCCACCTCCAACATCAGCAGCATCCAGGGAGTTGCTGCTATCACGGATGGTTACTGGCTGAACGACCTCTCCGGTAACGGAAGGGCTGCCTTCAACGCCAACGGCGCTTACAAGGTCTTCCGTAACGTCAAGGAGTACGGAGCAAAGGGTAAGCTACTTTGCTTTTTGTGTTTCAGTACAAGTCTAACACCTTGATAGGTGACGGTGTCACCGACGATTCCGATGCAATCAACCGTGCCATTGCCGACGGCAACCGTTGCGGTCCCGGCGTGTGCGACTCGGCCACTGATTCCCCGGCTGTTGTCTACATTCCTTCTGGAACTTATCTCATTGGCAAGCCCATCATCTTCTATTACATGACTCAGCTCATCGGCAACCCCCGAGGTCTTCCTGTTTTGAAGGCTGCTCCAACTCTCCAGGCCATTGCTCTCATTGATGCCAGTCCTTACCAGAACAACGGTGCACCCGGTTGGACATCAACCAACATCTTCCTGCGCCAAATCCGCAACTTGATCATCGACGGCACTGCTGTTGCACCAACCAGCGGCTTCCAGGGTATCCACTGGCCCGCTTCGCAAGCCACAACCATCCAGAATGTCAAGATCCGCATGACACAGGCATCTAACTCAGTCCACGCCGGTATCTTCGTCGAGAACGGATCTGGTGGCCACATGGCTGACCTCGACATTGAGGGTGGCTTGTACGGCATGAACATTGGAAACCAGCAGTTCACCATGCGCAACGTCAAGATCTCCAAGGCCGTTACTGGTATCTCGCAGATCTGGGATTGGGGCTGGTTGTACGCTGGTCTTACTATTAGTGACTGCGGCACTGCTTTCTCTATGAGCAACGGTGGCTCGGCTAATAAGCTTGAGGTCGGCTCTGTTGTTATCATCGACTCTGAGATTACCAACTGCCAGAAGTTTGTCGATATGGCATGGACTCGTAACAGCGTTCCTACTGGTGCCGGACAGCTCATGTTGGAGAACATCAAGCTCAACAATGTACCCAACGCCGTCGTAGGAAACGGCGCTACCGTGCTTCAGGGTGGCACATTCACCATTCAGGCTTGGGGTCAGGGAAACAAGTACGCTCCTAATGCCAACGGTCCGGAGAAGTTCCAGGGAACCTTCACTCCTGTTGCTCGTCCAGGAGGCCTTTTGGATGGCAACAAGTACTACGCCAAGTCGAAGCCACAGTACGAGAACCTCAACTCTGGCGACTTTATCAGTGCTCGCGGCAGTGGAGCCACAGGTGATGGTCGTACCGACGACACCCAGGCTGTCCAGAATGCCATCAACAGGGCTGTTTCCTCTAACAAGGTCCGTCCCCTTTCAATCTCACACAATCTCATAATCCGAGGCTAATCATTGTCCAAAAGGTCCTCTTCTTCGAGCACGGCGTCTACAGAGTAACCAACACAATCTACGTCCCCCCCGGCTCCCGCATGGTCGGCGAGACCTTCCCCTCAATCATGGGCTCCGGCTCCGTCTTCTCCAACAAAGACTCCCCCGTCCCCATCATGCAAATCGGCAAGCCCGGCGAAAGCGGCCGCATCGAATGGTCCGACATGATCGTTCAAACCCAAGGCGCCACCCCCGGCGCCATCGTAATCCAATACAACCTCAACACCTCACGCGGCTCCGGCCTCTGGGACGTGCACACGCGCATCGGCGGCGCCAAAGGCACAAACCTGCAAGTCGCGCAGTGCCCGTCCACCGTCGGCAGCGTAAAACCCGAGTGCATGGCCGCCCACACAAACGTACACGTAACCAAGGGCGCCAACGGCGCGTACTTCGAAAACAACTGGTTCTGGACAGCCGACCACGACATGGACGATGCGCGCAGCACGCAAATCACCATCCTAACAGGTCGCGGCCTGCACGTCGAAGCATCAAACGTCTGGCTCTGGGCCAACGGCGTCGAACACCACGCAAACTACCAGTACCAATTCAACGGCGCGTCTAATATCTTCGCCGGCTTCATCCAAACAGAAACACCATACTACATGCCCACGCCCGACGCCTCCAACCAACCCTACGGCACCTCCGCCGCCTACTCCGACCCCGTATACCCCTCCGGCGCCTCCGCCTATGGTCTGCGCGTGCTGAACTCCAAGAACGTGCTTGTGTACGGTGGGGGTCTGTATTCTTTCTTCCGCAATTACAGCACTAGTTGTTCGAGCGCGGATGCGAGTGGTGGGGCGCGGATATGCCAGAATAGGATTTTTAGTATTGAGGGGGATAGCAGTGTGCAGGCTTTTGCGCTTAGTGAGGTGGGCAGTGAGTGGATGGTTACGGTGGATGGGGTGGATAAGGCGAGTTGGAGGGATAATTTGAGTGTTTATTCGAATACTATTGGGTGGCTTGGGTATAGGGTTTAGGGTGAAGGAGGGAGGGGGTTGGGGGGTTGGGAGATGGACGGAAGAGGATTGTATATATGGGATGGAGGGCGGTGTTTGGTGTTTTCGGGGGGGGTTGTTTGGACGGTTGGTTGGCTACGGTCGCTATCTTTCTGTCCGGATAGGATGGAATGGAGTCTTGGGTTGTATGCTACTGTTGTAGTATATTCTTTCTTACTGAATGCAAAGGATCAAAACGTATCGGTTCTTCCTCTCTCTCCACTTACTAGTGATCTATGTAGCACCCCACATTTAGTAGTCATCTTTCTGCGAACTGGAATCCGTGATCCGAACCTCACTCGATCCGTCCAGCTGATCAGCATCGACATCACATGCGCGTCAGGGTCAACCTTCCACATGTGCGACATCGGCGACCACTGCA